ATCTAAAATTCCATCACTGATACAATAAAGCTCGACGTCGAGATAGAATATAATAATGGTTTTGGCAACATATCTTCATTTGACATTAAAAAGCTGAATGTCTATACATCTGATTAAATTTGAGCGTTAGTGGAGTGAGTTAATATTTATTGTCACATCGGCAATATTTCAGCCATATCGTGACGAGACCAATTAATTATTGTATTTGAGAAAAATGAACGTCAAAACTACCAGTGTATCACAGATATTTAAGTTAAACTAGCATGTTATCATAAAAACGACATATATATAAAGTGAACAATACAATATAAAACCAAGCTATAGATTGCTAACAAGTGAAGGTAGATCACCATACTTGGGACCATGGGGACTTGCAGTACATTTGCTTCCTGCATGGACCCCAGCTGGATTTACACCATCCCTTCAGCTATTAGCAATTTTAGCAGGTAAATGTGACAAATGAGTATTTGTAAAACCAGCCAAACATTCAAGGTTTAAACGCAGATCCGAATACACAGGACAGTTGATTAAGACGTATAATTCATCCTCCACACAGTTATGTGTCGACATACATGTAGGGCTGTGCTTTGCCGAGCCGAACTTGGGCAACACCGCATCTAAATATAGCTAATGCACTATGTAGCGTTTAGGCATTGTCTCAGTTACGTACATGTACGTTTCAGTGCCATAATTGGATCTAAAATGACGATAGGACCGAAGCTTACTGGTATTGTTTACAAGCTGTTTTGTCCAGCATAAAGAACTGACCTGTTATATAACTTTAAAAGGTTTCTAATCAGGAAACAAAACAATGAACACTGTATAATTCATCCAGTTTCTTGACGATGAAAAAGAAGTGGGTGGACTCAAAAGTTCCAGTTCTTGCAGCTCCTTGATTTGTAGTTTACAGATAATAAAAAGCCGTGTTTTCTTTAGGTGGTCGTCCGGGTTGGTCTTCAGTAACACATGCTTGTAAGAGGCGACTAACAGGATCGGGTGGTCAGGCTCGCTGACTTGGTTGACACATGTCACCGGTTCCCAATTGCGCACATCGATGCTCCTGCAGTTGATCACTGCCTTGTCTGGTCCAGACTCTATTTACAGACAGCCGCCATATAGCTGGAATATTGCTGAGTGCGGCGTAAAATTCAACTCACTCACTCACTCTTTAGGTGGCCAGTATTTATATTTACCTGTCTTCGCCACTGAAATAAAACCGATACAAATCTTTAGGGCTGTGTATTGGCAAATAAACTGTATTTCAATATATTGCGATTCAGGTACCTGTATTGCAATATATTGGGAACTTGTTTGACAGTGAGTGACACTAATTTTGCATGTCAATCCTATTTTCTACATTATAAGTCCCTAAACATATATGTTATGGTTCTGATAAAAAAAGCAATCTCAAAATTAGGTTGCATAGTCAAGGATTCTGTTTTCGTTTTTATACAATTTATAGCATTACAGTGTGCCGTTTTGTCATTGAATAACGAAGGAAATCATTTGTGAATGAAAGTCTGTGTAGTTTTTAATTTAAACCATAAAGTGCCATAAACCATAAAACCATTAAAGTGCCGGTTCTCAGAAAAATATTGCAATACGTATCTTTTGAAAAGCGTATTGCGATATACCGGAAATACCGTGCAATCCTACATATCGTCGGTGCAAAAGAACATCCAGTCAGAATATCCCCAGAAACCAATTCCGTTTAGTGTAATCTGTAAAAACAGGTGTGTGAAATTATATGTCCTTTCCCATATAAAGCGAAACTAATCAAAGCCTTTACATTTGCATTATATTCACAAGGTTGGTATGGTGTGACAAATATAACTGTACCAACATGTCAATGTGCAGTTTCAAACGGGTTGTGTAAAAATTGTCACTAACGATTTGGCATGTTAAAAAACACCATAATTGGTGATGAACATATGTTATATTTGGGACCATTTGGCCACTTTCTAAATGGTATTGTGTATTCGTGGCGATGAAAGCTGTTTTTTCCATGTCTTTTGCTGAGATTTTAAATTTCCAATATGCTGAATTTGCACCAATGTACTCTGTTATCATATTTGTGTATTAACACAGAGGATGCAGCCCACTCTTACACAGATGGTTGAACATTTCTAAACATGAGTTTCTTCATCTTTTACAATTCCATGTGGTGTCAGTCACATATGTTGTTTAATTGGTTTAGCATTTCCAGTACATTTGGAGTGTTCAAGTGCTATAAAGTCATCTTTAACAAATACATCCTGATAGTCAGTAAGTAATCATGCCGCCAACTGATTCACCTCCTCATCCTTAATCAATTTGGATGACTGTTAAAACAGACTCGACAGGTGAGATGGGACGTTGGGTTGATCGCCAGCTTTAACTGGTGTGCCCACATGGGTACAACTTGTGAAGCCCATTTCTGGTGTCCCCCCCCGCCGTGATATTGCTGGAATATTGCTAAAAACAGCGTAAAACCATACTCAGTCAGTTAACTGATGTGGGATGGTCCAAGGGTGATTCGACACGATCAATTTCCATGGCACCCTAAAACTTGACGAGGATGTAGTTCCACTTGATTATCTGATGTGTGTTCACATCCCAGTTTGGTAAGTTCTTGGCATCAGGAGATCAGGGTTAGTTAAACGTAGCTCTATTGTGTAATCTGAGAGTTGTTTCACTAATTTACTGTGACACCGGGATCCTTAAAACCTGCTGTACCTTCTGAGAATGGCAAAGAGTCATTTCAGTGGTATCCTCAGCAACTCTAAGTTCCAGATGTGACCAAAAAAGTCCAGTCTCAGAAGAACATCATCTTTGATTAGACCTACTACAGGAATCTGCTTAATGACCCTAATTGCAGCTGTAGTGGTGGTGTCACAAAGGAACAAATGTGCAAGTCCCTTCCAGCAGGACTCAATTTGTTCTTGGCAGAACCTGTGCACCAATTGTTGTCCCACAAAATCATCTGGTGAATACCGAAAGGCAGAGACTGATTTGGGTGGCCCTGAGTGGGTTTGATTTAGGATGGTGCAGCTTGCCCAGATGCATGTTGCCCCGTCAGTCTAGAATGCAGTTTACCGGGCGCAGCCAGGCGTGCAAAGCACGCTCGCTTTTGAGCAATTCTCGCGCATAGCGCTATAACCATGTTGTGCGACAGCATGTACAGAATCCCTTCATGCAGGCATCCGAAACAGCACGCCAGACACACGGAAGACCAATTAGTACTGATACAGCACGCCGACGTCTTAACAGTGGGAACCTCCATTGCCGTAGATCTTACCGTGGACCTATCCTCACCCCTCGTCATCGGCGTGAACGTCTACAGTTTGCCCTACAAGACCAAAACTGGCGATACAGGCAATGGAGAACTGTTCTGATGGCAGAACAAGAATATGTCGACGCCGTGCCCAGCGTTACATAGACAATGTGTTATGGAAAGAGACTTATGGGGAGGTGCAAGCATCATGGTATGGGGTATGAACCAGAGAGTGGGTCCTGTGGTGTTCCAGAACCTTGGGCCAGGGAGAAGAGTCGGCATTACAGCAGTGCGCTACATCGACCAAGCTCTCAGACCCCACATCATACCACATTTCGCATGTCACCGGAACAGCATTTCCCAGCATGATAATGCCCAGGCCCATACTGCCAGAGCTACATGGGCCTTCCTGCAGCAAAACCTTGTCCACATTATGCAGTGGCCAGCCTTTAGTTCTGACTTAAACCCAATTGAACATTTTTGGGATGAAATTCAAAGGAGACTGAATAATGTCATACCAAGGCCGAACACAGCCGATTTATTGCGCCATGACTTTCTCAGAGTGTGGTTCCAGGTGCCAGTGGCCTTCATCAATCGATTGGTGCGCTCCATGCATAGAAGCTGTGCTGCAGTTATTGCCGCTCGTGGTGGTCACGCTAGATACTGAAGTCAAGAGTCTGAATGGACTGCAAACGTTTTTTTTACAGGAGCTAGGTTTCTCATAGGCTGTTCCTACACAAAGTTGGTCTTTAGGAGGTAAGTCTCCTGGAGACCTACCTTCTGTAAATATAGCTTCAGCGTCCAAGAGACCCATCCATTGTATAAATAAACACCTGGAGACATTCGTCATGAAGAAATGGCCCCGAGAGACCGGTCTCTACAAACGGTCTGGTGAAATATTATGTTGCAACAGTGACTGGGTATACTCTGGTGCAATGTACACCTTATGACAACATATATTGGACATAGTCTGCTTGTAACACAAGCTTAGCCTTCTCGTTTGCAATAAGCCGACATACTTGTTCAAAAGACACTCCTTGGGTTCAAGCAAACAAACGTTAACTACTGCCAACATATAGTCCGTTTGACCGATGAATTGCAATCTAACTCGAAAACTAGTAAACATAAAATACTCAATGAAACGCTGATAATAATCAAAACATCATACCCACTCTGTGAGTTTTTGCAGAATGTTTGTCCCAAAAATAAAAAAGTTGTTTAGCAAACTATCATTAAAATATTGACACAGTTCACTGTTTGTTACGAGGGAGGAGGGCAGAGAAAGGGCCAGCCAGGGGTTCGAGAACGGATGGAGACGGCACAGCACAGGTTATGAATAAATAACTTTGTCTGTGAACGTGCTTCTCGAACACCTGGTTGTCCCTTTCCCTGTACTCCTCCCTCGTAACAATTAGTGAACAGGCACCCGTGCATGATATCGCATGCATGCATGATATTCTTTCAGTTGACTATTGTCTGATCGAAATGATAAACGTGCTGCAAACCGGTGTCTTCGAATAAAGATTGACAGATTGAGGTTTAAAAATCAACACTTGGAAATAATCAGAAGGGCGTACCGAGCTCACATTACAGAGAATAACGTCATGTTTGCTCACTCTGAATTCGGCGATACGTGTTTTGCAGTTCTCCTGTCTGAAATAGCACATGCGGTTGCATAAGATTATACATATATACAGTCGTAAACAGACCTTGAAAGCTTCAGTTTGGAAGACATACGCTGCGAGAAAGGGACAGTAGCAGACAATGGTGGACATATTCACCTTCAGTCCTACAACATTGTTGCTGTGTGTGGCTGTGCTAGTTTTGTTATGGCTGTTAACGCGGCGGCCCTCTGGGCTCCCTCCCGGTCCCCCTCTCCTCCCGTTTGTGGGGAATGTACTCTCCATGGGCTCCGATCCCCGGATCACGTTTAGGAAACTCAGGCAACAATATGGCGACATCTTCAGTGTTTACATGTTCAACACACCAGTCATAGTCCTTAACGGCTACAGCACTCTGAGAGACGCCATTGTCAAGAGAGCCGACGTTTTTTCTCACAGGCCACACACAACGTTAACTGACTTCATTTCAAAAGGGAAAGGTAGGTCACAGACAATCTTTAAAGACCTTCAGATTGAGCTATAGTTTGGCATGAAATGCATGTGGACCCGTTTTTTTTGTAAATATCTCTTCATCCAATGACCCAATCGATCTCGAACTGTGCAAGTGGATGTTTTGTCAGACAACTTAATCACATTGTAAATCACCGATTTTATGCATTTGTATTAAAGAATCTGTCTATGTAACTGTCAACAAAATAAACAGCAGAACGCAGACTGCAGTAGTGAGTGAGTGACGGGGTTGATATTTAGAGTCACATCGGCAATATTTCTGCCATAACGTGACGATAACAATTTATATATGAATATTAATAGCAATCAATTTAGAACGTAAAAAAACTGTAACTGAAGGACAGCAAAATTACCAAAGTATCACAGCTCTTAACTTGCATGCTATCATAGAAGGATATCACTAAAGACAACAGTACAATAAAAAACACTCGTTTACAGTACTTTTGCTACATGCATGGACCCAAGCCGGATATATAATAGCCCTTCAACAGATGGCGATTGTAGTCAAATTTAGCCATAATTACATTGACTAAAATAATACGTCTAAAAAATCTGGTTTGTTTAAATTCCTTTGAATGTGTCGGGACACTCTCAGGAGGACTATAACTTTACCAAACTTTAACACACCTTGAGGATACAACCACTAGCAATCTCAGTTACTAATCTAAACTAGGAATCATTAAAATTCACCATCTACATCTACAAAACATAAGCATCTTTCTTTTTCAAACTCAAAATCATGTAAATCCTTCAAAATGCCGTGCTCCCACATAGTATCATAAGCTTTCTGCAGATCGACGAAAATCGATACTATAGCATTATGCAATAGCATTTTTGACAAAGGATTCTTATCGTACAAAATAATTCTAATCGCACTACGATTATTTCCGGAAATCACATTGTATATTAGTAATTAAGTTATTGGTTTCCAGATACCAATATTTACCATTCGTTCCATGATTTTATAGACACAACTTGTTTATGAACTGGGTCTGTAATTAGATGGATCACTATGATCCCGGCCAGGCTTTGGTATAGGAACTAAAATGGCATTACGCCATGAAGTTAGGAAATTCCCTGAGTGAGTGAGTGAGTGAGTGAGCGAGCAAATGAGTTTAGTTTTACGCCACACTCAGCAATATTCCATCTATATGGCGGCGGTTTGTAAATAATCAAGTTTGGACCAGACAATCCAGTGATCAACAGGATGAGCATCGATCTGCGCAATTGGGAACCGATGACATGGGTCAACCAAGTCAGCGAGCCTGACCACCCAATCCCGTTTGTCGACTCTAACCCGGCCCTTCACGGGCGGGAAATTCCGTGAAGTCCATATTGTATCAAATATATATAGCAGCGTTTCCAGACATGATTTGGGCAAATGCTTCTGGTGTTGGATGGATATTATCATTCCCTGATGCTGTATCATGAGCTCATGTAGTGAAAATAATTCATTTTTATCTTCACCATTTCCCGAATTAAAATTTATTCTTTTCTTCTCCTGTTGTTTCTGAAACTCAGGGACATAAGTTGATGAAGATGAATGCTTGGCGAGAGTTCCACCAAGTGTATTGGCAATGTCAGTTTCATTAGCAAATAAATTATCACCGTCCTTCAGATGATGAACAGTAGATTTGGAATCTTTGCACCCTGTTCCAAACCTTTGAGTGAGTGAGTGAGTTAAGATTTTAAGTCACGATGGCAGTATTTCAGCCATATCGTGACTAAATCAAGTAATAGTTATAGTGATTAAAAGTAAATTTTAAAATCCAGTCCACGACGGACAGTAAAACGACTAGATTATCACATATATAAACTTGAAACTAGTAAATAAATCTGAAACATTTTAACTATATATTGTTATGGGTGATGAAACATATTTTGCAAATAAAATGTACAGTTTTAGATAGTGATGAGTATACTTGGTGTAATTAGATTTAGCTTGGGGTGAGGGGCCTTCGCTTGAGTAACTAGTGGTACAGCTTGGGGTTTGATGAATTCAGCTTTGGTCAGTTAATGGAATGTGGCCAGCCAGCTTGTAGGGGGAAAAGCTCGGTGACTCTGAGCTGGTTGGGAAGTTTCTTGAGGACTGGACTTTTTGCGAGGTGATTTGTACCCATGATGTGAATGTTCAACTGTGAATTCACAAACTTGCACCCACGTCGGGACTGTGACAAATATGAAAAATGAGAAACTGGGAAATCATGGTGTACACAGTTTTGGAAGGATTTAAAAATGAATAATATTATTGCTAAGACAATACTTCACTTACCACACTTGTAAATCGTTATCTTATATCAGCCTTCTGTTAGGATAGTATTAAGAAATCTTCCTGAATTAGTCAGATTGTTGTGTGATCCATTTTCATTGTGCGAGTGGATTGGTGTCATATACCCCTTTATCGCACCTTCACTCGTAACAATATGACAAGGCAATATAAAAACAGGCTATAGAACTGAAGGTAGATCACCACATTGAGGACCAAGGGACTCGTAGTACTTTTGCTTCCAGCATGGACCTAAGCTGGATTTACATCTTCCCTTCAGCTGTTAGCAATTTAGTCAAATCTAGCCATACATTAAAAACACACATATTCTGCGATTAAGAAGAATGGATAGAATAAATTGGCTTTGAATGTTTTGAGACTTACCTATCCTCTCAGGAGGACAATAATTTTACAATACTTTGAGGATCCAGTCACAAACTTATAAAAAATACATCTAGCTACAAAACATATGACTCCAAATTGATCAGTCAATTCAATTTTTTAAAAATTCGATAATAAAACGTAATTAACATAAATAAAAGATCCTTAACAGTTTCACTGAAATGACCCGTGAAGATCCGGGGTAGAATAGGTCTTCAGCAACCCATGCTTGCCACACAAGGCGACTATGCTTGTCGGAAGAGGCGACTAACGGGATCGGGTGGTCAGGCTCGCTGACTTGGTTGACACATGTCATCGGTTCCCAATTACGCAGATCGATGCTCATGCTGTTGATGACTGGATTGTCTGGTCCAGACTCGATAATTTACAGGCCGCCGCCATATAGCTGGAATATTGCTGAGTGCGGCGTAAAACTCAACCCACTTACTCACTCACTCAACAAAGAAATATTTATCCCTTGTAACGGAAAAAGCAAAACAGTCAAGCAGAACATGCTTGACTGTGATTCTCTCATCACAAGGGACACAGAAAAGAGGATCCTCATCTTTTAACAGATAATCATGAGTATAGCTTGTAGGGCTGTGTATTGCCCAAATTTCGTACTGCGATATATTGCGATACTCTCTTCTGTACCGCAATACGTATTGCAATATATTGTGAAAGAAAAGAAAATGAGATCTGTAATCTTTAAAATATTCTTTTACCGTCAAATTGAATCACAGTATATGTGAGTAACCATTGTGCATTGTATAGCTTTTTTCAAATAATAGAATATAGACCATTCTTCTATTTCATTTTAAGACTCAATTTCAGACACAAAGGAGTTAGACAAGAAAATTTAAACATGCACCTATCTGAGACTACAAACTATTTATAAATGTTGAAAAGTAAACGTTTCACTATAAACACAATTTTCTGAACACAAGCACCAGATAAAGGAACACATTTTGATTGCCAGAGCGTCTGATAAAGACTACAAGTATCACTGATACACTTTCTAGCTTGATTGCAATCAATGTTAAACCATGCCTTGCGAATATGTGGAACCGTAGAGGACCTAGGAATACTATCTTCAGCAATCATATTAAATTCATCAGAACAAAACTTGAATAGGATCAGAAACATTCAGAAATACACTGGGGTTTATGGCTGAAAGAATAGTGGGGAAGTGATCACTCCCACATAGGTCATCATAGACCGACCATCCATTCAAATTCATTATAATAGGTTGAATCGGTGAGCATCAAATCGAGGCTGAAATATGGTCCAGTAGCTGGATGTAGATCTGGAGGTGTATAATCTACACAGGTTTTTATCTGAAATAAATTCCTCGAGGATTTTACTATTATTATTAGTATGGACACTTCCCCCAAAGCGGGTTGTGTCCGTTCTGATCGCCCATGATGACACTTTCAGTATTTAGAGTGATAAGGCTATGTATGATGCTCTGGTGTACCAAAACAAAAGCACCTCCAGTTGCTTTATCTCCTGGAGTGAGAGAGTGAGTTAAAATTTTAAGTCACATCGGCAGTATTTCATCCATATCATGACCATTAAAGTTGTAAATTTATAAATGTATACATGAAATAGAAACGAACGTATATACTTACCTGTCTGCGAAGGACAGTACAATAACTATTGTCACAGATGTACACTTAAAACTATCATGTAATCATAAAACACCATTTCTACCTTTAACGGTACAATATATAAACGGGCTATAGATTACCAGCAACTGAAGGTAGATCACCCTACTAGGGAGACTTTAACTCCTGGAAGGGAAAGGAATGATAATCACTGTACCGTCTAACGTTAGTGGTATCTGCATTTATCTTGGAGATATAATCTTGAATGAGTAATTGTCTTTCATTGAAGTTATTCTTCAATCCTCTGCAATTCCACTGAATCATATTGGCCAATTGAGTCACAGTGGCTCAATTTGCGACCGTTCTCGTGAATGTGAGGAGGAACTATTGTTACGGTTAATAATTTGCCGTGACAACAGGTACAGGAGTCCCCTTTGAACCAGCAAAACAGGAGTCTAAAATATTCAATAATATATTGAACAAACAATGAGCAAACTACAATGAATGACAATACAGATATCTAGTATAATGCAATTGAGTCACAAATCTAAAATATTGGGTCACAAATATAAAATATTAACTCACCAGAGTCTTGACATTCACGGTGAGAACAGATATACTGATTGAAGGTTGTTTACAATGACAGTAGTTGAGTAGAAAAGCACGGTCTTTAAATGTTGACAGACAGACTTGACGACGGCAGACAGATGTGTATAACTCCAGTGATGTGATAAGTCCGTGTGATTCTGTGTCACACAACACAACAACCAGACTTAATAAAGCTCTTACACAGTTCTCGAGCATTCTAGAAAAGCTAGGCTGTATCATTATCCATTCAGAACTTAATAGAAATCCGTCGAAATCGGAATCCACGGAATCATGAGAACAAGGCTCTGTTCCAAAGTATGCCAAACCTTTTGGGTAGTGTTTTCCTATTGATACTTGTCTTTTTCACGTTGGTTGCACAGGTGTGGCCGGGACCTCTGGTGATCTGTGGCCCGAACAAAGACGCTTCACCCTCAACACTCTGAGGGAGTTCGGAGCAGGCAGGAACATCATGGAGGACAAAATACAGCTGAAATCTCACAGTTTATCGAGGCCTTTGAGACAGAACGAAGTCAAGGGTTTGACTGCACACGTCTGGTGCATAACGCAGTATCCAATGTCATCTGCTCTATTATTTTCGGAAAGCGATTTGAATATACAGACCCAATTTTTATTAAATTTTTAACAGCTATGGAAGAAATTATGGCAAATCTGGGTTCAGCTGGAGTGATGAATGTGCTGCCTGCTGTGCGTTTTCTGCCAGGGGATCTGTTCAAATTTAAGAAGTCTGTGCAGAATATGGATACCATCATTTCGCTTCTTATAGGCCCTATGATAAAAGAGCGCTTGCAGAAACAAGACGATGACAATGTGGGCGACTTTACCCACGCCTATATTAAGGAAATGCGTCTTCGCATAGATTGTAAGCATTAATGGAATTAAGTAATAATTGTTGCCTAATGATGCCTGACAGTTCATTTAGTAACTTCTTTTTCTTTGTTAGTAGACTGCCTCCGTGGTGTAGTGGTTAGAGCGTCCGCTCGGAGAGCGGAAGGTTGCGGGTTCGATCCCCGACCGCGTCATACCAAAAGACGTTAAAATATGGTACTTGTTGGTCCCATTAATGGGTACAACAAGGACTGGTCGGCTCGGAGTCAGTATAATGTGTCTGAGTGGGGTATTCATGCTTCACTGCGGCATGGTATCTCAGTGAGCTAGCACTATAAAACCAGCTTAAATCTGGGCTAGTACAAGCAGCCCCACATACATATACACGCATGCACGTCGTCATATGAGCGAAATATTCTCCAGCGAGTCGTTAAACCCAATTTCACCTCACCTCACCTCTTTGTTATTACACTGTGACGTGCTCAGTAATATAACTGTGTCTGTTTAGGTTTCGAGGCAATCACAAAATAATCCGACCCCAATCAACAGATCCTTGTTCAGGAAGGGGAACAACTCAACACATATATTTGTGACATCTTAACTACTCAATAATTTGTTTACTCGGTTGATGTTTTGTTTCAGTGGAGAACCTGGCCATGGTTGTTGCGGACCTATTCATAGCCGGGACAGAAACTACTGCCACTACAATTCGATGGACATTGGTCTACTTACTCCACAATCCGGAAGTACAGGAAAAGTGTTTCCGAGAGATCCAGGAACATATCGGCCAGAGGAGACGACCCTCCATGAAAGACAAGAGCAGCCTACCCAACGTGGAGGCAACCATTTTGGAAGTGTTGAGACGAGCTGATATCGGGCCAGCTTCTCTCCCACACGCCGTTTCCCACGATGTCCAGTTCAGGGGATACACGTTCCCAAAAGAGGCCACAGTCATAGTGATGCTTGATTCGGTCTTACAAGACCCGGATGTGTGGGGTGACCCAGACAACTTCCGGCCTGACCGTTTCCTTGACGACAATGGCAAGGTTATAAAGAAAGAAGAGTTCATTCCCTTCTCTCTGGGTGAGTTCAACACAGCCTCCAATATCGTGTATACATTAACGAGTTATAACCTACTTGTTATTTTCACAATTTTAAATATATATACAATATCAGCGAATTGTGCATCATATCGAAAGTCGATCTAGTTATATATGATAGACTGGGACACAGTTTTGGTATTTCCTGAACACTGAACCTGAAGTAAGAGTGAGTGAGTGAGTAAAAACTTTACATCGCATCGGTAATATTACAGCCACATGGCGATAAAAACAAGGTAATGAATTTAAATAGCTGTCGACAAAGTACAGTAAAACCAACTAGACTATCACAGATATATACTTAAAAACTAGTGATTAAATCTAAAATTGAACGCCAACAACTGCAGGTAGATCAACATACTAGGGTCCATGGGGACTTACAGTGCGATTGCTACCTGCATTGACCTTAGTTGGATTTACACCATTCCTTCAGCCGCTGGCGATTGTAGGAAACGTTTAGCCGAACTTTAAAAGAACAAATATACTACGTTTAAAAATCTGGTAAGCTTAAATTTAACTTTGGAAGTTTTGGGACTTACGTACCCTCTCCGGAGGACAATATTTTTACGATACTTTAACCCCCTTCGAGGATACAGCCATTAACAATCGCAGTTGCTAATTTATATTACCATGTTTAAAATACCATTTGTCTATTTACAAATCATTTAACAAAATTAATCTAATTCTTTTAAAAATGCAATAATTAAATGAGATCTGACATTATTAAAATGATCCTTCAGAAATAGTTATCCCTTGTGAGGGAATATTCAACACAGTCAAGGGATGCAAAACGGAGGATCCTCACCTATCAATAAGTATTCATGAGTATATCTTGTGTGGCCAATACGACATCGTCGTATGATGACCTCTTCATATCTGGACTAACAACCCAAATAGGTGTAACCAATGTAAGGTTTTATTGCATGTAATTTATTTATACCTACTTGAGTGTCCCACTTCTTCTGCATTAGATCACGGATATAAGATCTGATGACGGCTGTATAATCAGAGTATGGAAGAAGAAGTGGTGTCACAGATTTGTGTAATGCTGACTTGGCAGCAAGATCGGCCACTGTGTTCCCAGAAATGCCAACGTGGCTGGGTAACCAACAAGAGACGATGTCGTATTGGCCAGTAGCAAGATCATTATATAATTCAACAATTTGAATTAAATGTGGATGTTTGCAAAATATATTTTTAATTGCCTGAAGGCATGAAAGAGAGACCTGAAGTAAGAGTTGAAATTCAAAGATGTGAAATGTTTCAGGTCGAAGAGTGTGTCTGGGTGAGTCGATGGCCCGGATGGAGTTGTTCCTCTTCCTGACCACCATGATCCAGAGGTCCAAGTTTGTCCCCGTGGATGGTCAGATGCCTTCCTTGGATGGAGTTATCGGTTTAACTCATTCCCCAAAACCATTCGTCATTAAAGCAGTTCCAAGGATATAATTGGTTTGTGTGAGCGAGGGATTGGTGTTTTGCAACCAACACCAACGCGTGCCAATGCGATGTATATTTCAGCCTGTTCTTGCTTTATTGATATATAATTTCGACAAATATCCTGTACGCTTCAATGATTTATGAAACGCTATTAATGTTATCAGGCAACCAGAACTGTACCAGAACTATACACAGTAACTATACATAGAACGCGGGTGCCTAGCCCGCAAATACTCCAGTCCCCCTATAGACCTGTTTGTTGGACAAATCATCGTGGAAAATCAACAGACATTGTTGCGAGGTTTCATCCCAGATTCCATTATGTCAATTATTTGCTTGATAATGTGACATAGGCCTCATTTTCAAGTTTAAACAGGAAAACATTGTTACAGACCGAATGTCATCTCAAGCAATACCCTAGCGTGGTAGTTCTAGGTCATGAGATTCTCAATAATTCCTATTTAACATTCGTATTCCCAAGTGTTTTGTCAAGTTAGCTTCTGCCGCTCAAAAAATCAAGTCAGCGTCATGGCCTGTTTTGTCTGTCGTCAGTCATCAAACATCTCAGAAAGAACTGGAGGAATGAAACTGAAACGTACCATAGAGGACACCTGATTAATACTGCATCTGATTATCACAGTCACCTCAATTGTCAACTACATTTAAAATGCTATTTTATGGACATTTTGTTTTCAAAATATACATTTCAACATTTGAATTTAGATTCCGACGAACCTTTGCACCACACTGAAAACATAAATTTATTGTAATTACGTAATCATTATTTTCAAAGAATAATTTGGCATATGTATATTTAGCAGTGAGGCTAAAAACATCTGTACCTTTCTTGCACTACAATAAATTTTGATAATCTTTTGTATAGACAGTTTTACGATGATCTTGAATTCGCCCAACATGTAGTACTATTTGCTCACACTATAAAACTCATCTTCAGACACCACTAGAACAGTGCAAATGAAACTTCACATGCGTGTTCACACATAACATCTGGATTTTAGAAGATGATGTTTTAATATAGTCAAATCTGCACTATTATATGGTCAAAACATGGCCACTGTTCATTCATTTCTGCTCAAAATGTACTGCTATGCTCTTAAATCTCAAAATGTACTTTTTCCGCTGAGAACATGCCGCATATATTGGGTTCACGTTTAGTACCCCTTATGATGGCATAGTATTGTGGGTGTGTATACTTCGGATTTTCCAGACGGTCTGTGTGTTGTTAAACAATAAGACAAGGCTATGGCAATGGTTGTTTCAGGTTTTTGACTTTTTGTCTAACATAAATATATATGCCTTGCGTTTCAAGAATGTTCTGTAATAGTATTTGATTTAGATTAGAAGAACTTTCGAATAATTAGGTGCTTGTTTCATATTTGTTCTATAAAGGGGATTTAGAAATGTTGACCTTGCGTCAAATATTTTGATATCATATTCTCTATTTAACGAATTTTTGGAGTTATTTCTTATTCCCCATTCAGGTGAATGATACAGAGTGAAAGCACAATATAAATATACTATCTCAGTGTAAATATAGTATGACGCCTGCGACGTGTATGGTCACATCCGCGATGGAGAAGTGTCGGTATAGTGCCGAGTAACGTCTTGTGCTTCTCCATACAAACTTAAGGCGTCGTTTTTACAGATGCTGTTGGGGGACTTTATGCTTGGAAGTGGAAAGGTTTAGTGTCGGAAGCATAATGATGTAAAGCGCCATCTCCAATACTGGTAAAACAGACGTGGTACATGTTCAGGGCAACTTAAGGACACAGCATTACACATATGAAATCCTTCGGCCCCACGTCATTCCAATCGTGCAACAAGCAAACAACATATTTCAACATGACAACCCCTGACCACACTGAAGCTGACAAGGGCAAAGCTGTGGTCTTTCTGGACACACTCGTTTTCCTCCAACTGGTGAACAAGACCACGGGTGACACCTCAACCTACCAGAGTATCCACATTGACCCAACTGTTAAACCAGAGAAACACAAGATGGTCCTGAAGGAGCACCACAAGAACGGACAGATCAATGACCCAGGCTTGAATATATATAATGAAGGGGGAGCAAGAAGTAACTCCAATACTTGTTCATATCCAGAGTATATACAATTTTTGAGTAGCAATACTGTTAGCAACTTCAAAAATTTTACTTATCATCCAGGTAAGCTTTTTATAACCGTGAAACTATTTGACTACTTATTCAAGTTACCAAACCGGTACAATATTAATTGTTCACTGGGACAAGATTTGTTGTGCCCTCTTTGTTTATGTTCCCTTAACAAACATAGAGGGTACATCAACCCATGGACGCCGAGGGACCAGTGAACAACGTATTTATCTTACCGAACATCTCAATACTAGATTTCCAGATGACATAGAATCTAGCAGACGACAGGAAAACAAAATGTAGAGTTATCTCCCTTTAATCGATTTACATTCGCAAAACATCGATCAATTCCGTACTTCATATTATTCGAGATAAAGAATTACTAACACAAAGTACCAAATGAACGCGAGGTACATTGAAAATAATAGAGTGCTCAGCAAAATTAGAAAACGACATTTATGTGTGAGGTAAGATAATAAAAGTTACAAGTTTTCACAGTATATTGTAGTTTGTTGTATCTTCCGGCTTAGTCCCTCACCACCTCACCTCCCGCTTATGGTGAATTTCTCGTACATGAGGTCAGATCCGCCGAATCACGTTTAAGATACAGACCACAATACGGCGATATCTTCAGAGTACATAATTATGTTTTACAAAAAAACTCATCGTTCCTTAACGGCTACAGCACTCCGAGAGACACCATTGTCTGTCAGACAACACACAGTGGAAAGGGGACCTCATTATACATGAGAATGGAAGGTGGGGCAATGGTTACATTTTGTACTCCATGCTATCAAAGCATAAAAAGGACCTGGCTGCAAATGTTCTTATTATTGCATTGCATTGCATTGCATTGCAGTATGATTTAACCGGCCATAACCCACTTTGAGGTAGTACAAACACTCACACTTCAGTAAAACATTTGACTCAGTTATGAATCTGCACCCTTCACCCGGCATATACTTTCTTAAGATTTGTCGGTATGACCTATATGAAACAGACAATTTCCTAACTATCCGTTCAAAACTAAATCAGCAATTTAACACATTGCCAATTGAAAATTTAAATCTCACAATTTTATTCAACTTAGGATAAAAGTTGTTTAACAAACGATCATAGTTTCAAATCGCTATTTTTGATTTGTATTACAAGGGGGTATGCACATTAAATGAAACACCGAGAACAAGGAGGGCTGGTCTAAGTTATACCTCATCACGTACCGCACGTGCATTTGTTTCACTGTTCCAACTACTGCGCTTACCCCCTTGTAATACAAACCAATATAAGCGATTTGAAACTATGATAGTTAAACAACTTTTATCCTAAGTTGAATAAAGTTCTGAGATTTAAATTTTCAATTGGCAAGGTAAAATTATGAGGATTCGCAATCTTAATTTCATTATATTTGATTTACGTTTTTGTTTAAAGCAAAATTCATCGGTACGTTTTCACCGCAAATAGACTGTACTTTATTATTATATCTGTGATATCCCATTTAGTTTTACTGTCCTTCGCTGACATTTTTTTATAATTTACCCTGATTTATTACGCAATTATAACTTGTTTTAGTCACGATATGGCTGAAATATTGCCGATGTGACTTTAAATTTTAATTCACTCACTCACTCACTCACTCTGTCCACTCACTTCACATGCAGCTCTGTGAATCACATGTCCAATTTGAGAGACACTTTGACCAAGGTTTTGTTCCGTAGTCGCTCTAAAGAAACTTCAATGAACGGTATCATGTTTTACTTTATTTGGGCTTTTCTCATTGCAGTTGTTGTGGTGCGTAAACGTGAGGTTAGGTAACAGTAGTGAAAATTTCCAGTGTCGGTTTTCTTGAGCTAGAACTGGGTTACATTCATGGAACACTGTAGTTGCTTTATGGTTCATTGTACAGTAGGTTGGCGACTTAGGTTGGCAACAACACACAGTGTAACAGCACATGGTGACACCTTCCGTTTGAAGAAAGTGTGATATAAGAGTGAGTGAGTTAGGATTTTAAGTCACATCGGCACTATTTAAGCCATTTCGTGACTAAAACCAAGTTTAACTTTATAATAAATATAGGTAAATTATAAAAAGCCTGTCAACGAAGGACAGTAAAAACAACTATATCACAGTTACGAATATAAAACTAGTATGTAAATCTAAGCTATTTTAGTTACTGCAGACAATACCATGCAAAACAGGCTATAGACTGCCAACAACTGAACGTAGATCAAGGCTGATCATAATCAAAACATCAGACTAACTCTTTGAGGTTTTTTTTCAGAATGTATGTCCTTAACATAAAAAAGTTGTTCAACAAACTATCATTAAAATATTGACACGGTTCACAATTTGTAACAGGGAGGAGTGCAAAGAGAGGATAAATTCTGCAAAAAAATCACAGAGTTGGTTTGATGTTTTGATTATGATCAGCGTTTCATTGAGTATTATATGTGTATTAGTTTTTGAGTTACATTGCAACTCATCGGTCCGCTTTTGAGCCAAACGGGCTATAGGGACCATGGTGACTTACAGTACATTTGCTGTACATGGACCTTACCTGGATTTACACCATCCCTTCAGCTGTCAGCAAGTTTAGACAATTTAGCCATAAATTAAAATAATATATATATTCTTAGGTTAAAATAATGGTGTCGTTGAAATGTGGGATTTATGTACCAGTGTGCGACATAGTTTCCACATTTTGCTAGCCGGTCGGGCTAGCTATGCCTGAGAGATACTAGCCCACAAAATAATTTACCAGCCCGAAATTTGAATGTAGACACGGCTTTCATAATTTTGCTGCTAATATAATGATCATTTTTATCAGGCCATAATCTTGCATGATTAAAAACTGTGTTATAAGTCAGGGAAAGTTATATATCTACAAAATGAAAATTCACTAGCCAGTCGGGCCAGTGAATGTGGAGATTTACTGACCCGACTTGATTTTTACTAGCCTCGGGCTAACGGGCAGTGGCTATTTCGATCACTGTTATGTACCCCCACAGGAGAGGACGCAAGATATGAGAACGTGACAGGAGACGATGGTGGACATATTCGCCTTCAGTCCTATAACTGTGGTGTTATGTGCGGTAGTGCTAGTTTTGATATGTCTGTTAAAGCGGCGGCTCTCTGGGCTTTCTCCCTGACGGGAATGACAAACGTGCTGCAAGCCGGTGTCTCCGAAATAAAGATATCATTTACCAACATAAAGCTTGAAAAATCAAAAGGGCGTATCGAGCTCACAGTATAGAGAATAAAAGTCATGTTTGCTCCCACTGAACTGGGTCACAGTTATTTATAGTTTACCCTATCTCTGTCTGAAACGATTCGTATGGTTGCATAAGGCTATACATCGATACGGTCATTGACAGACCTGGACATCTTCAGATTGTAGGACATACACTGCGAGAAAGGGACAGTAGCAGACAATGGTAGATATATTCGCCTTCAGTCCTACAACTGTGTTGCTGTGTGTGGCTGTGCCTGTTTTGTTATGGATGTTAACGCGGCGGCCCTCTGGTCTCCCTCCCGGCCCCCGTCTCCTGCCGTTTGTTGGGAATATCCTCTCCATGGACGCGGATCCCCGGATTGCGTTTAAGAAACTCAGGCAACAATATGGGGACATCTTCAGTGCGTACGTGTTTAACAAACCTCTCATCGTCCTCAACGGCTACAGCACTCTGAGAGACGCCTTTGTCAAGAACACCGACGTTTTCTCTGACAGGCCACACTCAACGTTCAATGACTACATTGTAAAAGGGAAAGGTAGGAGTCACAATCTGTTAAGTTCAAAGGGAAAAGGCTGCTTTCCATGAGGTGAGGGTTTGTAAATGAAACCTCTGGTTGCAAATGTTAATGTTAATCTGCTGTTTGTCAAAACACACCTATCATCATCTGGTTGTATTCACTTTTAGCTTGATAACGATGTAAGGATCTACACAGACACGTTCGACAAAAAATGATGACTAATTAAGGAATTTTTACGAATTCGAGACTGCCGTACGTTCCATGCATAACGGTGTTTGGTTCTTTGCGATTTCATAAAGTTTCTCCACCTGTTCCCCCACACCATGAAAGAAATGATAAGCGAAATATTGAATTATTTCACCAGGAACAGTCTGTGTTCAAGTAGACTGGAGAAAACTTTTACAAGATGCTTCTGCATATGTCAACCGGTATGCTTTTAGTTCAGATGAGACACCTAATGTGCTAACACATTCCTTTCCTCTTCATTGACAGGCCTGACCGGGACTTCTGGGGCGCTCTGGCGAGAACAAAGACGCTTCGCCCTCAACACTCTCAGGGAGTTTGGAGCGGGCAGGAACATCATGGAGGACAAAATACACGAAGAGGTCACGAACTTTGTCGAGGCTTTGGAGACAGAACGAGGACAAGGGTTTGACTGCAAACGTCTGGTGCAAAACGCAGTATGCAATGTCATCTGTTCCACTATGTTCAGCAAGCGATTTGAATATACCGACCCGCTATTTGTGAAAGCTTTGAAAGCTATGGATGAATATGTTGCCAACTTGGGTTCTTCTGGTCTGTTGAATGTGCTGCCTATTGTGCGATTTCTACCAGGGGATCCATTCAAATTTAAGAAGACTGTTCAGAGTAGCCAAACCATGGTTTCACTTCTCATAGAGCCTATGATAAAGGAGCATTTGCTGACCCACGACGGTAACGTTGACGACTTCATCCACGCCTACATCAAGGAAATGCGACATCGGAAAGAAACGCAAGAGGAGACGACCTTAGACCGTAAGCATCAAGAGAACGAATCTTGACTTTTTTCTGCTTGTATTGGACAGTTTATAGCCGATTTATTGGGTACCTGTTGCCTTGTTATGGGACAAGAAACGTTTTCTGGATATGTTGTTCATGTGTTAATCATAACATGAGAGGATAATTGTGAATATGAGTTCAGTCAGTTCAGGTCTGAAAAATACGCATTTTACCTTCCTTCGGCGACAGATTTTATAAAATAAAATTATAAATGATTTCAGTATGACCTGTTTTTTATCACGATATGGATGAAATGACAATGTGACTGTAAACATTAACTCACTCACTTACACGTCAGTGAAGGAGATCTATATTGAGGTTGATGTTCTGTTTCAGTGGAGAACTTGGTCATGGTTATTGCAGACCTCTTTGCAGCCGGAACAGAAACCACAGCCACTATCATAGTTTGGACACTGGTCTATTTATTGCATAATCCGGATGTACAGGAAAAGTGTTTTCAGGAGATCAAAGGAAACATTGGCCAGAGCAGATTGCCCTCCATGAAGGACAAGACCAACCTGCCCTACGTGGAGGCAACCATTATGGAAGTCTTGAGACGAGCTGATATCCTCCCCACATCACTCCCTCATACTGTTCCCCACGATGTCCAGTTCGGGGGATACACGTTCCCCAAAGGTGTCCCAGTCATGATGATGCTTGATTCAGTCCTACAAGACCCGGATGTTTGGGGTGACCCAGACAACTTCCGGCCTGACCGTTTCCTTGACGACACTGGCAAGATTGTAAAGAAAGATGAGTTCATTCCCTTCTCTCTGGGTGAGTATAGTCGCCCGGAAAGACACAGCCCCCAAATGTAAGTTAAATATATAATTAAAATGATAGTAAATATATAAATAATTAAAAATATATAGAACTTTATGTTGTGTTCTTTAAAAAAATGTCCATTAATATACACCGATAAGCAAAAAGAATATCTCTTTACTGAAGTTGAATTTCGAACAAAATTAATCTAACCTTACTATAAATGACAAATATGAAATACAGAAACTGACTTTCATCATTCCTTATCTTAGAAGAGTATGAACGTTCATAAAGTGAGAGCCAGACGCATCGCCCCTTAAAAAAAATAAATAACTAACTAAAAAATAGATATAAATAAAATAAATAAATATAATATATAATTAATATATATATATATATATATAATAAATTTAAAAATAAATAAGTAAATAATAATAATAATGATAAAATAACTAATACATTATACGCGACTTAAAACCAAATAATAACCATCATTAATATTATCGATAATTAATAAAGTAGTATGGTTGGCGGATCTCTAAAAGGAGGTTATAGCAGTTGGGCGTTAACAGGTTGCTGACGGGTGTCACTGACATTCGTGTCTACGTTTACTAAGCTGGGGGCTATTTTGTTCTTAATGCACTATCGAGTAGCTGGGTTTTCCGGTTCGCTGCTCGTTTGGCTGTCTTGTTTGTCTGCAGAACGACGTTCGTTGCTTGGCATTAGCGTGCATATTTGTGCTTTTTGCATGGACAGATTACACCAGGCGTTATGTGGTAGCAGTATTGTTATTGCTTCCATGACCTTTCAAATATCCATGTCGGTTATATGTTGCTGACAAAGCAATTTGGGAACTGATACTGGGAGCCAAAACGAGAAGCTCAGGCGGGAAATAAAATGATAAGCTTTGCAAGGAATTCATTGTCTGCTAATACACATAAGGGTTGATAAGTCAGCTTTGATTTATTGCATTCATTGTTTATAAAAAACATCCTTCTGTGTGTCAGATACAGAAGTTGACATCCTACATTAGTTTTATCCCACGGTTTTACCGCCGGGGTATTATTTTGGAAACTGTTGGTCCGTGCAAATTCGAGTTTTCACGCAGTAGAACATAAAAACCGTTCAATATTTCTTTATTAAACTTGGCATATAGATAGATCTGGTGGTGAACTGGTGCGTTTTGGTAGTTTTGGATATCTGAATAAACTTTCTTTTTTTCCTTTCCATGGAAACAAGTTTGACTTTGACTGAAATGGGTGTTAATGCTCTTTTCAGGAGCAGAATTTAATACCGTTCAAAGTTTCTTCACCAAACTTGATACAGAACCGCCTTTTGGTAGTTTTGGATTTCTAAATTATTTTTTATTTTTGCGTTTCCATGGAAACAATTTTGACTTTGACTAAAACTGGTGGTAGTTTTAAACTTTTAAACCTTTTAATACTCTAATTCCACTTTCTTGGGTGTTCAAGAACCTAATGACATAAATCAACAGTACCACTCTATTTCTGCAGCAGCATTACTGAGGTACATCAAACCGTGGAAGCACTCAGGCAGTCTGTTGATACAAGCTTGCTAGTATATGCATAGTTTACATATGTATGTTTTTGTTAGATCCATGTGAAGAACAATGTAACATTTGACATAGTCATATATAACTAGCTGACATATTGATGAAGAGTATTTTACCATTGCGGGGGATAGTGATGACTTTGTCTTCTTGTTTTGCTTGCTGCTGACACGATATGCGACACTTCACCAGGACTACGAAAGCTTAAAACCTACGTTACCTATCACGGGTTGTTTTGTTGGTTATATTGATCAACATTGGATAGAAACGGAATACATGAGCTTCTGATGAATTTCAGATGCATGTTTAGGGCTTGAAAGTAAATGATCGGGTAACTGTATGTGAAAAAAGTGTGCTCATGTCTTTTTGGATGCCAAATTCGAATTTCCACGGCCTATAGCTACTTTGAGGAAGACTATTGACTTAAAGCAGAATAACTTTAAGGTAAGTAGCAATTTGTTACTCTTTGAATAACAATTGTATGTGAAGGAAGGATGTTTTTTATGGGCGCTTTGTTGTTTTCTCGGGTATCAGGGATTCATATTTTAAAAATTATTCATTACCTTAAAATTGAGGTTCTTGAGAGGCATGTAGAAGTTGGTATTCATGTATAAGACAAAATGTTATGGATGTCAACTTCTTCTTTATTGTATACACAACGTTTCTGGGCTATTCCTTGCCCCTTCGTCAGGTGAATGCTAAATATGATGATTATAAGTTTTACGTTGGCTTCTGGCTGTAGCCAATGTCGCCGACGGGGTAGGTGGGAGCTAGTATAATAATTAATATGGTTTAATAAGGGATAAACCACCATACCCCCAAAATGTAAATGATGGGACGTTAACCTATATGAAATTTGAGATAGAAAACGTTTAAGAAACATGGAAGGAAAATATATGAAAAGCCGATGTTAAGAAGCAGTATTTGTTAATAAATGAGAGATAGAATTAAAACAAGCATTGTCACTAAGGTGACATAATCCCCCGCCGCAAATGATGAAATCAAACTTATAAAGGAATGAAAGTTTAAGTTAAATGTCAACAAAACATGACCAGTCAATCTCTCTTGATATCTTGCTCTTTAGGTGGTCAAACACACACATATTTTCAAGATTGACTTTGACATTGACATGAATGTCATAGTGTATGAAATATGCAAAACTAGTACTAAAGAAATTGCTTATTGAAAAACATTTAAGGGAAGTTTTGAAAGTCTGAAGAAAATCCAGTGAACCGTTCTTGAAATATCTTGCTGACAATTCAGGTTAACATGCTGAAATCTTCAAAGTGTCGCTGTGATCTTGAAAATTAAGTGAAGGTCACCAAAATCGACTGAGCTCTGGGCCTTCCCTGGATGAAGCTTGGTGTCAAATATGAAGAAGCTCTAGTGAATGGTTCATGAGGTATCTTGATGACAAGCATAACCTGCAGGTTAAAATGCTGAAATCTTCAAAGTGTCTCCGTGGCCTTGAAAATTAAGTGAAGGTCACCAAAATGACTGGGCTCTGCACCTTCCCTAGATACAGCTTTGTATTGAATATGAAGAAAATCCAGTGAACGGTTCTTGAGATAGCTTAACATGCAGGTAATATGTAAAAGTCCCCTTGTGACCTTGAAATGAAGGTCAAGGACACCAAACCTGACTTGGACCTTTCTTATACTGTGATGAACCTAGGTACCAAATATGAAAAGAATCTAGAGAACGGTTCTTAAGATATTCCAACTCGTACGGACGGGCTGAGCCTTATACTATATTCCCCGCTTCGCGCTAAACGCGCGGCGGGGGACAACTAATAATAGATGTAAATGGGGGCCATGCATGGGGTGGGGTAAGGATGGGGGAGAGGATGGGGTTAGGTTACTAAGGGTGTATAGCATAGTGGGTGTAGAGCATGAGTGCAGGTAAGCTGCATATTTCAATTAGGGGCTTAAGAAAGAAAGAAAAGGGGATTAAATTGGTGGGGGTGGGGGTTGGGGGTAAGGGGAGAGCGAAGAAGGCAGTGAGGCAGGGGCCGTGGCTGTTGGTTGAAGGTTACACACCACCAAATGTTTTCCCATAGACTTCTATAGTAACCTTATAATTTTTTTAAAAATAGACAAGCTATCAACAGCCATTCCATGTACACATGGGTACACTCTGGCCTTTAAACTACAATAAAAACACAATATCAGGCCAACTTGTCCGGCTCGTTTTGCGAGGACAGGAAGCGGAACACATCAACCCCAGTTCCGCACCAAATGTCACCTACTGGAAAATATCTGTACACACAATAAGCATAAGTCATGGTGATGAAAATGACAGCACTGAATACTTAAAATTGTGGTCAGTTTTAATTGCTGGTTGGATATGCTTTTAAAAACATAAACATCTTACACTATTTCATCCAATCACAGCTGTCACATGTCTCTATCTCTTCATTTGTTTACATACGCTTCTCGCTCAGTGAGCAAGCGATTCTCATTTAGTGTAGTATAACCTGTAGGAAAATTTAGAAACATTTGCCCTAGGCAAATCTGTGACTTATGTACTGTATATACATGTAACTTCTCAGAAAAAATATAAAACTGCATGAAGCTTCAATGCTTTTTCCTGTCCAACATATCTATATGGCACAAGAATATAGTGATTTGCTGCACTGACAGAGCTGTAAGAGTTATATCATGTCTATTTCACCAAAGCTATACAAAATGCACTTCTGCATTAATAGAGAAAGTTTTTAAATCATACATATACCATGGGAGTTTACTCTTATTTCACAAAAAGGGGGCCATGGGTTAATTCCATGCATGACTGGGACTGCCTTGATCATATCAATCCAAACTATATTTTGAACGACAAAAATCATGGAATTCAGGCCAGAAATTGGACAGGTTTAACATTAAGCAGCTTTAACATCCTGACATATGTAAGGCTGGATGATGAACTTTGCCAGAATGTAATAAGTGAGGGGTTGGATTATGCCTAGCAGTCTGAAACACTGACCACAGTACCCTGCCGCCTGTTAGTCGATCAAGGCAAATGACCCCTTCAACAGATGAAATCACTTTTAGACCACAGCATGATAAGAACTTACACTTGAATCTATTGATTCATCAAGCTAAGACTTTGAAATACTTCCAGAAATTCAAAACTATTGACTGTGTATTGATTTGAGGCTGTTACACTTGCCAATTTCATGTATAAACCAGTTTAGAGGGAACAAAGTGAAAAAATCCACATAACTTTGGAAATTTATTGGTTACCCTGCCCTAAACTGAATATTTTTAATTACAATTAACAGTATTTGGCAATATCAGCTAAAAACAGAGCTTCTCTGCAGTAATTTATGGGTTACTGGGTTAGAGAAAGACACAATGTATTTGGGTAAACAGGGGAGATAATTTTAAGATATCGAACACTCTCATGTCAATAAAATGTGAATTCAGACCCATAATATTACATTCCA